ACAACTTTTGTTTCATAAAGGTGCAGTACGCTTCTGACTGTTGAAGGAAAGAACAACCGTTTCATAAAGGTTCAGTACGATTTAACACAGCATCTTGCTTCTGACTGTTGAAGGAAAGAACAACTTCTCATTAATGTAAAGAAGAATTTTATATCAATAAAGTGGCGAGGATGATAAATATAAAAATGATAATCCTCTCAGACATTGGCCGGTTGACATTATTTATAGCTATTTAAAATAACTTGAAAATTTTGATCACCAATCTACCAATAGAAATTGATACACCCACAAATTGTAACCGTCAAAGAGCCTATGGCATCCAAGGACCTCAATGCAACCGAGATTTGAACCCGTGACCTCCTTAATATGAAGGAGAGCCAGCCACCAACTACGTTTGGTGCAGTGTGGTAAACACATAACCTTACCTACAAACCTACAGCAACCAAATAACTCTTTGTTGTGTCTTCGATCCTTAGATTTCTGGCTGTTGGAAGATGTTGCAAGGACAGGAATACCACAGACGCACCGCAGCTCATGTTTTCGAGTGTTCAATGCCAGAAACACATGACGTAACTTTTGAAGAACTGAAGAAGAGACTATGCAAACGTAAAGCAAGATTTACCAACCTACTTTATCACACACTAAAACCCATTCATTAATGATGTTTCTAAACGAATTCTTTCACAGTTACTATCACCTCTAATTTTTTGTAGAAAACAATGTAAAAATTTATACAGTGCGCATAATAATTATACATTTCCAAAATAAGTTCTTCTGGAAATGTGTTACATTTTTGTTCATGTCTTTACAACACACTAGTAACATTAATGTTGGAATGCTGTACATTTTCTGTGATTTCATTACCTCAAGAAAAGTCATGAAATCATGTTAAACGGCCCATCCACGTACGAGTCAAACTCGCCGAGCCAGACTCGGCTCGGGTGTGTGGCGTGTCACGAGCCGAGTCAAGCTCGCCGAGCCAGACTCGTACGTGGATGGGCCGCTTTAGTCCTTGTTTACTAATCCATCAGCAAGTATTGAGTCTGATTAATTTTTCATTATCTAGAAACAATTCCCTCATACTCATCCACAACTTCACTTATTTTTAAAGCCTCTTTGCATTCTATTATAAATTGTTCTTGTTTACTTTAATATTTTTCGTTGTCTTTCCAAGAATAGAACAATGAAATCTTTCTGGAGTGCTTCTTCTTCGAAATGCCTAACATACAATAATATTTTATTTTTCCTGCTTTCCTAAAAAAGGGACTGGAGAAAAAACTGCTGCAGAATTTAACAACCACTGCTCTGGATAGAAAACTGTAAAAACTGTACCACCTCCTAATTCAGGAGACCTCTCCTACAAATCTAAATACATTTCCTAATGGCATTAATTAATACTGACTAACTCCATGCTGCTGGCAGTTGTTCAGCCACTCAAGAAATACCTTATCTTTAAAAGAATTTTAAGGTTAATGAACCTGCTATTGGTCCCTACGCTGCACCAGATCAAACTAGTCGACACCCACATGGAACAACACACAGTTATATTCTGTAAACACCGGTGATAACTGAGAAATTCTTAAATAAGTATGTAATGTAAAAAGGAGATACAACTTACCATGCTGAAGTCTGCTGTAATGACGCCTCACATCACTTATAAAGGTTCTGGAATGATTCCAGAAGTTCAACCTCGGTAAATGTAGCAATTACACATGTTACTTAGTTCTTGACAGCTTCAGCAATAAACACTATTCTACACTATACACTTCAGGCTCTCCAGAGATAAAAGTCACAAGTTAAGTTCGCAGAATCTAGGAGGCCACAGTTCTTTGCTGATTATTCTGTTATAGAACACGCGTCTGCGCTGTAGCATTATGTTGCCTGAAATACCCATAATTCCTTCCTTCAGCTGTCGACTGATGAGGGATTCTAATTCACGGTTTCACGAAACAAAAATCAGGCCAGTCATCCACCACGCACTTACTGTACACCAAAACCCTGTGTTTACGTCGTGTAATGGCTCGTGTTGAACAGCACAGAAATGTTCGTGGTTTCATATTACGTTTTGACCACGAATTTAAAACCATGCTTTATACATTATGAACAGAAATTGTCGATCCACACGTACATCGAGACATCGCATACATTTTGCAGTAAGCTGATGCAAAAACGAATTCTTCCTACATAACCTTGTTGTTTAATCTGACACGTAATTATTACTTTTGGGTGAAAATGAATTAGTCATGTCCCTGTGAATGCAGGCACCGACGAAACATCAGTTTTTGTGCTACACGTCTTAAAGATTTACAAAGACTTATCTGTGATTCTGTCTGAATGTCTTAAAAGTTTTCTTCATTTAACACACTGCTTTCGGATTCCCTCTTTTTATCGCAAACTGAAACCGTGAATCTGGGAATTTAATAGCAAACCTTCGAATCTATTTTGTGCACTTTTTGTTCCTTATGTTTCCACCATGAACACTCGCTGTTGAATTGTAAACTTTATTCCAACAGAACGAACTGAAAACTAAGAGACAAACAGATGTTCGCGTTTGCCTACTCGCGCTACCAACCTAGAAAACGACTACGTGTCGTATTAGCGAGAACAAAACTTACCGCCGGCAAAAAATTTCTTCGTTAACAGAATTATATTTCCCTCTACTGGTGTTTGAATGATACACTCTGTGAATATGATGTAAAACACGAATAAATACTGAAGAGTACCGAAATATTAAACATTTTTCACAAGGTTTAATTATCTTCACACCAGAAAAGACAACATTCTGTATTATAGAAAATAGTTTTCACAGCGATTTAAGTGAAGATTGTATTTTAATACAGATAACTTCAAAGCCCAACATTAATAGCGTGATTAAAGCATGTTCACAATGTAAACAAACTAGGTAACCAGCTGATCCACGTGAAACCTGCCCATTCAGTCAAGGTTACGAAACCAATCACCAGTCAAGTTCACAGCATGTGTCAGCAACCAACCACCTCACGTCAAACAAAAGTGGCTTAGTAATTTACCCATATGAATAGGATAATCCATTTACTGCGTGTGTGTACACACTAATATTCAAATAAACAGCTATGCAAACCAAGCAATTCTTAAACTGTTATGACAAAAAGATAAACAGAAGGTAGTTTACCTTCTGTTTATCTGTTTATGAATTAAACGTATTTTACAAGCAAATGACACTGATTATTTTCTTATCGAAAGAACAGCTTACTCACCGCCTAGGAACTGAGTAACCAGACCGTTCTATTGTAAATGTCAGGAGCATCTTATCGGCTACTTAAGTAGGGCAAGTAGTTACAGGACGACCGTTTTTAATAACTTGAAGTTTTTCACTGATTGGTCATGTTTGAAAATGCTTATGAAGTAATCAACACAATCATCAATACGTTTATTTAGTACAGCACAATTGAGAAACAATTTCATTCGACTGTTGAGTCGACAGTTATACGAGGCGCGTCCCAAAAGTAAGTTTCCCTGGGGCCGTTTACAGAAACAAAACACAATTTCATGGAAATATTTATTGCAACAGATAGAGCAAGTGTCCAGCTATTTTTCAACATATTCGCCACCGGAATTGAGACATTTGTCATACCGTGGGACCAACTTTTGAATACCTGTGTCGTAGAAGTCTGCCGCCTGGGATTGGAACCACTGTGTGACAACCATCTCCGCCTCTCTGTCATTCTCAAAACGCTGACGCTGACCGGACAGGAATTTCTTGAGGTGTAGGAAAAGATGGAAATCACTGGGAGCGAGGTTCGGGCTGTAGGGTGGATGATTAAACACCTCCCAGCTGAACTCCTGCAGGAGACTTGCTGTCCGTCGAGCAGTGTGCGGCCTAGCGTTATCACTGACCGCACTTCACAGTCGGCGGGAGCTGGAATAAGAACCTCCATCTTCAACAGCTGCAACAATGCTACTGTGAGAACGCGGGAAGTACCGTTAGTGCATGCGCCATGCTACGTCATTGCTCTATCACGTACGCACAGTCGCTTCGCTCAATATAAGGTTTGCTAGCTGTGGGACGAGTGGGAAACTTACTTTTGGGACGCGCCTCGTATAATCGAATGGAAAACTATCGACAGTGAGAAAGTTTCAAACTGTCAAATAATTCTATTGCTTTAATAATCGAATGAATTTGATTTTTGAAACCTTCAGTTTATTGTATGTTCTTTACGCTTTACTTTAAGTGAACAAGGCCGTTCATATACGTGTGGCATCCTTCAATCGAAGAGATCGTGTTGCCATATACTCCTGGTCCAAGTAATTCCATGTTCTGCCATCTAATAACGCGAGAACGGCCTATCGGATGTTCATTATATTTGCTATGGTGGGTCATAAGAGGCCAGTCCAAACTAGTATTTCTTAAATTTCAGAAGTCGGCAATACCAACGAGAGATGCTCAGTCGTGTAGTGATACTACGACGACGCCATTACTGATCCTTTGCTCATGCGCGGTGACGTCTTCACATCATAGTGATCTCAGATCACATTACCAGTGACCTTGAACGCCATTGTTGTCTTTGTAACTGTTGTATTTGTGATGTCCTGCCCTGACGTCATCACCATTGATGTACATATAGTAGTTATCCTAATGAATGACTTTAAATTCATCAGTTAATTAATCAGTAGACTTTTAAATTGGCATCAGAGGTACTGGGATGGTAGAAAACTTATGAAGTATCTAAGAGATAGGGTAAGTTTGTCAGTTAAACAAGAAACATTATTACAAATTTACTTTTATTTTTGTAGATGTGCATATTTTTATACATCAATACAAACAACAACAGATCCTAAAGTTTGAATTTGCAGTTTTAATAATCTTCATATTGTAAAGTGCCAATTGCAGGTAAAATATTTTCACTGGAACACAGAATTACATAATTTATTCATACGACATTTTTCACAGAATATTTATATATAGACGTACGTCTAAAATAGCCAAAATAATTACTTATTTTTGACTTAGCTCTGTTTAATAAAAATGAATAATTATATTATGAGAAACCACATGACTGTACACACACGGTTGGAGAGATTTAGTTTAGTACATGTCTGTCTTTGTATTGTTTATTTCGAGACAGTCAGAAGTGCAACTGAAGGAAGTTTTAACTCATTAAGGAACATGAGTATCACTTCTTAATTAAGGAAGTAGGTCGAATACTTTCATAAAGACGAAAAATTAGTGTTAATTTCGTAAAAAAAAAGCAATAGAATAGTCTAGATTCAGTGAGATTGTGGATCACAAGGAACTTTCATCATGACACTCAAGATGGCTCTGCTATAGTTATAGACAGTTACTGGATACTTGACGTGATAGGTTTTAATTGGAAATAGCAAAAACCCATTTTAAATTTACCACGCAACAAAACCCTTTGAAAAAACAACTGTCGTAGGGAATTTTATGAACATCAGATCGCTGTATCAACACTGAACTCTTCACCTGCAGTGTCACATTTCATGATAGTAGATTAAAGCTGATAAACCACTATCAGCAACTGTCCGTCTTCACCTATTTGTTTAACGTCATGCAGACGGCGTAATTCTTAAACGAATGGCATGTTTGTTGAGGTCAACACACAGCAAGGCTTTAAGCGTACCTGCCAGAACTACTCAGGCAAGGATTGTGTTCCCCCATTTGTCATAAAAGCGATCGGAACCCGACAGACCTCGAAGAGACTCAGGTTGAAAGGAAAACAACCAGTATCGACATTATAGGCACGTAACACACTGCCTATAATTTCCATAAGAATTATCTACAGCAGAATTTAATGTCGGTGGTATTTAATAGATCGTTGAACACTTCTACACTAGCTCGTCCTCAAAAATAGAATTGTTTTCATTTGAATTCATCTTGATGGCTTCAAAATTGTAATTATTAATAGCATTTTATATCATATAACTCAATGATCAACATTTAAAACACCAAGAATGTATGTATTATGACGAATCGTAATCGAAATAAGCATGCGTTAACATTTTTAAAAAAATTGAAAATTTCATAATTAAAATTTACCCCTAAAGAGAAATTGCTATTCAAGACGAAGTAAATACGAATTTTATAATACTGATATTCAGTATGAAATCCAAGTTTAAGGAAGATGAATTGGCTTCTTTTTTCTAGCAGTCGTAAATATAAAATTTCAGACATATAAATTGTAAATTTCTGAAAAATCTAATATTCTATTTTTGTAACACCAAGCACTCGAGTTTCGGAAATTTAACGGTAGAATTCAGTAATAATTGGCAAGTTTAGACATCGGACCGCATAATGAAATGTGTTTAATATTGCAACACAAATTCAAACTACACAATAACCCTACAACAACAGCAGTCAAAGGCTGTACACAAGTGTTTTTGACAAGCAGTGACTTAAGATTAAAGCGACAAATACCTAAAAGGAATCTCTGAAAGAAAATGTTCTAAGTCGACTAGAAAGGAAATGTAAGACGCATTCATAAGCTTGTAAAGCATCAGAATGTTGAGGTAGAGAGGACAGAAATATTGTCGCTTCAAGTCCTAGATATCTCCAATCACAAACAATTCATATACAAATGCCATCACAAACAAACAAACAAATTAGGTGATTGGGTTTCCTCTATAAAATGCCTCGTACAGTGCAAGAACCCAGATTCTCTCAGTTCATGATCCTGACATCAAAATTCGCTTTCGTCTTTCACAAAATCATTTCAAATTGAACCACTTTACGGGCATCAAGCTCATTCTGAAAGAAATCTCCTCAAGATTCGATGTACGGAATTTGCTTCACGGGATAAGAAAAACTGGCGTATATATAACAGCACTATCTTGAGAAACATAATGAAATGTAGAACAATGGAACTACCCAGACGATGGAGTGGGCACTTAATTCAAGTACCTTCACCACAGTGTGGCTGGAGCATAGACAATTTCGGTTTGTTTAATAGTAGCAGTTCGCGGAGAAAAATAGTTCCTCCGTCACCAGACACAAGTTGCTCTGTGATACAAATAAATGAGTCAAGAGAATTTTAAATCGAGACTGTGGATTAAGAAATATTCAATTTCCTCCCCCCCCCCCACCCCCCACCGCCAAATACTGAACAGCAGTTAACAGACACTTTCTTCCACCCTTGGGATTTCACACTGCAAACCAGACTAGCAGAGCATTAAACAATTTGGATAAAGTTTTAATTTTAAAATTTGTCAGTACCAGTAACAAAATATTAAATTTCTATTTGGCTTCCATCGTCTGGATAATGACCGTTATTTCATGACTTTTTGTAAATTTGTGAAGAAGGAAACATCGAAGTGAACAGATTAGGCCTTGGTGTCCTTTTCTGCTGGTGGTGGAGCCACTGTGGGGATCTCCGGATACTCCAGGGTCACTCCATCCTCGCATTCGAAGATGGGACAGCAGTCGGGGAAGGCGGCAGTCTTGTTCGTATTTTCAGAGAGCTTGCACTTGGGATTGGGTTTGGGTAGTGGGCCGCAGTCCTCTACGAGCTCGAGCAGGTGTCCAGTCTCCTCGCCCTCTGGCTTCACGCACGTGGAGCGTCCGCAGAAAGGAGCGAGTTCCCACGTCTGACCGGGCTCCACAGTGGCGCAGCGAGTGGACGCGAAACACAATCCCGGAAAGTCTGCAATACACAAGTGTTTACGTTTACGTTTACGTGATTTTAGATCATTTGGATTCTGGTTGTGTCTTTCCCCTGCTTCAGTTTATCCTTGTGATTCTTTATTGGTAGACCTAAGGTCTTCCCGGGTATCTGTACCTTGTTGGAACAATGTTGTACATCGTGCATTGTCTGAAATTGTCTTTATACGCCCGATTTTTCGGTATTTGGCTGTACTCCCGCCTTCAAGTGAAAGACTCGTTGTCGTGATACATTTTTTATTGGTGACCTTTCGAATGCTAGGCTTGATTACTGTTCTATTTCAGCAACATGGCATGGACCTCTCAATAACGTACTTTCCCGGTTATGTTTCAATAAACAGCCACGATCCTCGGATTTATTGCGAAGGAACAGTAATACCTTGGTACTACATCATTTACGGTTTGATATCAATCGAAACTGTTGTCATGGACAGCCTTGGAACATATACCCAGTGACGCGTTGCAGCCGTTATGCAACCTTGTGGTGGCGAGAGGGCGTGGTCAGCTCCGACAATCAAGTAACAGCTGGTTGCCGACCTGGTTTCAAACCAGACTATGAGAGTGACAAGTACATTTGTGCTGTCAGGAGCCTGAAACATAACACGAGGTCTCTTTGTCCGGAACCTCGCATATCCCAGCGGTCGAATGAAGACGGAAGACTTCACTAACTAGATTAGGGGCGTTAGGTTAACAACGTGTCTCTCTTTCATTAATTCCACTCCCACTTTCATGTAGGGCAATAAATTCTCACAAACGAGGTCCTAGCGACCGAATCATGGCAGTGTAGCGATAAAGTAATTTGGATGTAATGCAGCTACGAAATTTTAATTGAATAAAAATTTACTTGGATATTATCCATCGTCTAGTAAATATAAAACGTAAAACGACGTTTCGGAGTTGGGACTCTATCTCCGTCTTCAGGTACCTACACAGTTGGGCCCACTAGATAGAGCTAATCCCTATCTCCGGACAAAGTAAAAAAGTGAAAGTCTCTCTCTCTTTTTATTCCGGGACTTTCACTCTTTTACTTTGTCCGGAGATAGGGATTAGCTCTATCTAGTGGGCCCAACTGTGTAGGTACCTGAAGACGGAGATAGAGTCCCAACTCCGAAACGTCGTTTTACGTTTTATATTTACTAGACGATGGAAGGTCCGGAGATAGGGATTAGCTCTATCTAGTGGGCCCAACTGTGTAGGAACCTGAAGACGGAGATAGAGTCCCATCTCCGAAACGTCGTTTTACGTTTTATATTTACTAGACGATGGATAATATCCAAATAAATTTTTATTCAATTGACTCTTCAACATCGTCAAGAAATTTTAGATTTGATATACGAAATTTTAGTTTAAATGTTGGTAAGATGTGATTAACCCTTTGAAGCCAAAGCTCGTGTGAATAATATTTAAAAGTGCGGCCAGTACCACAAAGAAAACATAACATTTCTCTGCAACGACGTGACCAATTAGCATTGGTTTGGTCTGCTATTGTGTGCAAAGAGAAATTATCAAGGCCGGGCAGTGAGGCTAGCTGATTAAACAAGACGAAGGCTGAGTGGTGGTGGTGGTAAGCCGTGTTCACGTCGAAACACGTCTCTCGTGCTAAATTAAACGAGCTTAACTGCAGGTGAAAGTAGAGTCGCCAGTCACGACTACAACTGGCGTGTCTTAAGCAAGACGGTGACCGGACTGGAAATGCAAGTCTCTGCACTGCACGTATGGTCTGGTGACTGAATTTTAGCCACAACTCTCGTCTCGCATTCGGGAGAACTATCGACTATCAACTCGACGCCGGTTAAACTTCGATTTTTAGACGCTGTAGCCTACAACATATGCAATTCAGAAAACGCCGTTAAACAAATTAACAGCCATTATATTTTCTTAAAATTTCTATGTGAATATTTAAATAGCAAATCTTCTCGAGCTAACCCATAATGCAGGTTGTACGATACAAAGAGTTTGGTCATCACAATACAGTCTGTGGTGCAACCTTCGATGACAAACTAGAATCCGGAAACCAAGTCTTTCGAGTATAACTATTACATTTGGATTCAAGGAAATTACTTAACGGACTTAAAGCGACACAGATATTAGCTACATTTGTTGTCTACTAAACGTAACAAAAAGTGAGGTTAAGTTTGAGCGCGATGTTTTTAAGTGTTGGTTTCTTTAGTGCATTTTAATTGGCACAACTGAATTGACTTAATGCCCAGCAATTAACTAACTTCTCGTGACGCACTCTCCTTTGGAGAAAATGTAATTATCTAATTCCAGTCACCGAGTCATGAAGTACGAGGTGCGATCGGAAAGTTTCCATTATGCGCGTATAAAAACCCGTACACTTATCTCAGGTATTATATTCATCCATCACCCTCGAAGTAGTTCCCCTGGGAGTGAACACAACGATCCCAGCGCCGCTGCCAAGCCTGGAAGCATCCCTGGAAATCTTTCTTTGTCAGCCTGTCAAGCACCATCTGCGATTCTGCCTCAATCTCTTCTATCGTCTCAAATCTCCTTCCCTTTAGCTGAATTTTCAACTTTGGGAAGAGGAAGAAGTCACACAGAGCTTAGAAAGGAAGTTGGGGTCGGTTCTTGCAAGATCTTTAAACTCCTGACAAACGAGAAGTCGATTCTGCTTCTAGTCCTCTGACAGGATGCGTCGCATGTGGAGTTCATCCTTTAGAATCAGCTGACAGGTCCCATAGCCTATCCCAACAATGTCGCACAAATCGTTGATGGTACGACGTCGATCTTCGTAACATTTTCGGGCGTTGTGCTCGAAGATGGTCGTCCAGAACGCTCGTCATCATCGACAGAGGTTCGGCCATTTTTAAAACGTGAATGCCACACAAAAGTTTGCGGACTCCCCAAATGCTTGCTTTAGCATTTCATAGGTTTCCGTAGCCGTTTTGGCGAGTCTTTGGCAAAATTTGATGCACACGCCATTCCGAAATCGCAGGAGGGTCGGTGTAATGCACTACCAAAACGCCCGTAACTAAGAAACAAATGCTAATTCGATGATGCCGGCTGGCACACTGATTCACTATGAATGTAGGCCGCACCCCCTAAAGGCAGAAGCTCGTACTACATCCGGTTCGCCTGCTATTGACACAGTCTAGAAACTTTCCGATCGCACCTCGTAGTTGTTTTGAACTCCGCGTTAAGCATTGAGAGTCTCAGTAAATGTTGGAGAACATTTTGAGCCTTGTATGTTTCTGTAACTTCCCGACTGTCGCTACATGAGCACGCCTGCGTGCGTGTGTGTAATATAGAGCGGTGTAAACATCGCGCACTCCATAATAAAATATTTATTTATTGTTTCCTTTCAATAAAATTATATTGGATTAAGAAACCATGTTTAACCAAGAGCCCACGTAGGTCACGTCATGTTATTACCTGCCTGTCAGCTGTCTTCAAACAGTCTAAGTGCAAGTATGTCTTTTTCGTAATTGTAATGAGTGTTCACTGTCGAACACTACCTTTGCGTGCTTTACGTGCTAGAATGGCTTTAGGGACACATTTTCCGTTTCTTCTTCGCCAACCAAATCGACAATACTTCGTCTACTTACAGATTTTTTTTTTTTTTTCGAATTTCAATGTCATTCGGATTTTGACAATTAGAATGACTTTCGTGACTTTCAAAGTTGTCCCCGGTACTGTTTAAACTTCGCGTTATAAAGGCGTATTCTTTCTTCATCGTGGTCCTAGACGGAGGTGAGTTAGATTCAAGCCCATCAGCTTCATCCAGAGAAAAATGGATGAGGCAGAGTGGACCTTAGACCCTGTATTGACGCAACTGCTAAGAGAAAAAATTTTCGTCTCGGAATTGAAGCCCGATTGAAAAGCTTGTAGTCACTGAACTAACTCAGCTCTCTCTGTACGTTATATGCATAAAAATGTATAAACAGGTTGATTTTTATGCGAAGTTATTGGTAGGTAATAATTAATAAGTAATTTATAAACTTTCGTCTTGTATAATCGCCTTTGCTGCTGATAATTTTGAAATGTCAGTTCCTTATGTAAGACGACTTGCGAATAGTGTAGCCTAGTTCGTATTTCGTCCGCTTTCTCTTAAGCAAGTACGAGGCATTTTTAACGGTTTCTTGTGCGAAAGTGACTCAGTAAATCAGACTTTATTAGGAAGTTTATAGATACATGTTTTGAAACTGGGACTCCTGGAAAGTTGCAGCAGGCTTTTAGATTTTCTCGTGTAATTTCCATCAGAACCACACTTAACATGTGACACGAACATTTTTTTAACAATATTTCAAACCCCATTCACTCACAACGACCACCGATATTTAACACGTTGTTCAATATTATAAAACCTGAACGCTAACGAATGCATTTCGAAGGTAAGTGTTGACAACGCTGAAGAAATCTCTGACTGAGAGCAGAAGAGAGAAAAGGAAAACGTACAAAAAGTATAGATCGGTAGTCGGTAATGAGAGAACTTCGAGCTTGGGCTACGCCACAGTAAGACAAACAGGGAAGTTGAGGCAAAGGGAAGCAAGACGAGAAGTCTCTTCGACTAAAAACACTTTTCCACTTTCAATTTTGACACAATCGGTAACATTTTGGACGATGACGGAGGCAGTATGACCTCTGAAACGTTGGT